ATTTGATGCCTCAAGTGCTTGACACAACATGATTCACCTTGAACTGGACAAGACAGAGGTGCTGTTTCCTGCTTTGACCCAGGTGCAAAATGTCTTTGACCGATCATGGTAATACCATAAGCAATTGTATGGGAATCATAGAATGATGGGGTTGGAAGGGGCCTCTAAGGCTATCAAGTCCAACCCCCGGCTCGGTGCAGGAATCCAAATCAAAGAAGATCTGACCGATGGGTGTCCAATGTTCTCTTGAAGGCCTCCAGCCTTGGACCTTGGAGAAATCCAGATAGAGATTTGGAGAGAGAAAGAGAGAGCAATTGGTGGACAGCCGGATGGATGGGCGGGTCATTTTTGCTGCTGCTTCCATTGGAGTGACCATGAGCCACTTGCTCATAGTTGATGGGAGCTAGGAGCATTTGTACGAAACATGGCAGAGAGTTGGGGTTTGAACTCAGAAACTCCGGATGCGAGTTCAACTCAAGAGGCAACTCAATTGGGGAAACAGGGCTAGTCATTTCACCCGGTTCGCCTTACAAGGGTGATGTGAGCATGAAGGAAGGAGAAGCTGAACAGTGTCTCTCAAGCTGAGCTAACTGTAGCACAGAGGGGGTAGAAATATAAAGAAAGGACAAACACATAAATTGTCCACATTGGAAGTTAAGAGTGGGAATCCAGTCCAATTTCACAACAATCCCGGACAACGATGGTTGGCGATTTGAGGTTTCTTCTAGCCTTATGTCTTTCATAAGCTGCCCTAATCTTATAAACAAGTTCTTTTCTACCGTATGATCCACCTGTGGGAGATCTTGGGGAGAATTCCTTCTTTAGACTAGAACACTGGTTCTTAACCTTGGTTTACTCAGGAGTTTTGGACTGCAACTCCCAGAAGCCTTCACCACCAGCTGTCCTGACTGGGGTTTCTGGGAGTTGCAGTTCAAAAGCATCCGAGTAACAAAGGTTAAGAACCACTGGACTAGAACTCCTATAGTTGGTGAAAGAGTTTGGGAGCTCTAGATTTATTCATTCGTTCCCAAGGAACCTTTCTAAGCTCTGAAAAGCTAGGGTGGGTTGAGTTTTCTTTCTTTAAATCCAGCGTTTTACAATACTTTGAAGCTTTTGTTTCTTGCAAGCAGCCCAAGGTATGTTAAGAACTATGCAGAACAAATGCATCTGGAATGATAAAGCGATAAATCCACAACATAATCGCGGAGAAAGAGCCCCCAGGAGGTTGGCCCGATATCTTGCAAATAAACAGAAAACGATCTTATAGCACGCTTATTTTCTGAGTTGGGTTGTCCTTGGGCAGCCTAAACTAGCACCAACAGGAACGAAGGATCAGCACCTTAGCCTAATATATCAGCACATGAATAGGGAGCGAGTGGCACTGCTGGAAGTCAATGAAGTCCTCTAGATATTGTTTCGACTACAGATTCCATCAGCCCAGGAATGCTGGGTCTCGTAATACAATGACAGCTGCAGAACTGCCCTCTCTGATGCTAGCCAACACATTAATTTAAGAGAGAGAGAGACAGAATGAATGAACAAACAAACACAGGACATCAGAACGGCAAAACAAATGTCAAAAAGACTTATCGAGGTGGATTTTCTGGCTGCATGAAGGCATCAAGGGAATCTCGTAAAGCGTCCTCCAAACCGCCTTCTTCCTCCACCCTCTGTGGATTGTTTTGCTTTTCTTCGCTGCTCTAAACCACCTGTCCCTTCTCTGGCTTCCTTCCACCCCCTTCCTTCTCCTTCTCTCCTTCTGAGTTCTTCTCATTTCTTCTGCCTGTTTTTAATGCCTCCTATCGAACTCCCCAGACTCTACCATCTAAGCTACCAGAAGCGAACTGGATGTTTTGCAAAATGAAAAGAAAGGGGGGAAAATCCATCTTGGAAGATCAAGATTATATCAGAGGTGGCTTCGGGTTGCAATTAAAAAAGAACAGATCCTGGCAGGTACACAATTGGCTTATGTAAGCCTGATGTTGAATTATGCTTAGAATGTGCATTCTTAGAAGGCCTCCTCTCTCTCTCTCTCTCACTCTCTCTCACACACACACACACATACACAGAGACAGACAGAGACAGAGAGAGAGAGATAAACCATGCACCAAAAACAAAATGAAAATACAGAGAGAGAGAGAGAGAGAGAGACCATGCACCAAAACCAAAATGAAAATACGGATGAAAACTCTTGCATTCTCTGAACCACAATCCCATCATCCATCCCCATTAGCTATGCTGGCTCAGGCACATGGGAGCTGTAGTGTAGCAACAGTACAACCTCGCATGCAGCTTTTAGTGTGAGTGACTGGGAGGGACCTTTCTGAGCTGTCAATCTACCCAGCACGAACCAATCATTCCTTGGTCAATCTACCCAGCATGAACCAATCATTCCTTCCCATGTATTCTTGAAGGCTTTCATGGCCGGGATCCGATGGTGGTTGTAGGTTTTTTGGGCTGTTGGACCATATTCTGTAGAACACGGCCAAACAGCCCAAAAACCCTACAGCCACCATTCCTTCCCACCTCAGAATTCAGAGAAAATCCTGCTTCTCTGGTGAGTTTCCTCATGTGTAGCCTGCAATGCCCTTCATCAGCTACATGAATTCAAGCTACCTTTAGGAAGATTTCAGTTTCTTTTCTATTTCTCTGCATTTAGGAGAAACTGGCCCCACTATTTTTTGCCTTGCCCTGCGCTTGGGGAAACTTTTTTATATTTTTAATTTATTTGAGAGCTCCAGACTGAGAGAATATGAGCAAAGGGAGTTTTTTGGGGAACTCTAGACTGACTAACATGGATTAGTCACCATCACCATCCCGCTGAGGGAAACCCCTCCCTCAAGAGCCTCAGCCCTGATGTTCTGGATTCCCACAGCGGATATTTCTTGATTGTTTTATTTTCTCCACAGACAGCTCCCTCAAGAGGTTGAGGCCAGTGACAAAGAGCTATGGAAGTATCAGTCAGCCAGCCAATTTGGGAAGTAGGAGGCCCCCCCCCTCAAGAGACGTTATGGGTGACTAGAGAGGGGTTGCACAACATGATCTGTCTGAACTTCCTTATTGACAGCAAGAGGCATTTCCACCGACGGGTTGAGAAACTGAGGCAGAAAGGAAGGAAAAACAAAAGATGGTGGCTGCAATGAGGAAGAAGACGACTGGCTCAAGATCTAGCCGAGGAAGGACAACTTGCTGAGCAAAATACAGTGGTGCCTCGCTGTAGAGTGAAAACGTCGCAAAGCGCAAATAAAAAACCCATTGAAGCGCATTAAAACCTGGTTAATGCGTTCCAATGGGCTAAAAACTCACCGTTCAGCGAAGATCCCCCATATGGCGGCCATTTTCGGTGCCTGTATAGCAAGGAATCCATCCCTAAGCACAGTGGGGAGCTATTTTGAGCACCCAGTGGCCATTTTGAAAACCCGATGATCAGCTGTTTTGATCATCGGAATGCGAAGAATCGGTTCCCGAAGCAGGGAACCGATCTTTGCAAAGCGAAAAAAACCATTTAAAACATCGTAAACATTGTTATGAAGCAGAGTCGTCGTAATGCAGGGTAATCGTTAAGTGGGGCGCGACTGTATAAGAATGGATAAAACCCAACAAACAGCATCCTAGAAAAAACACCCCCCAAAAAAGGAACTGTATTCTTCCTAAGAGCCTATTATCCATGGGTTAAATTCACTGGAAGACACCTTTCTCTTAAGACTTCGCTACACAGCCTATTTGTTCTCCAGAATGTACAGGAGGTGGCAACTCCTGAACTCAGGATCTCTCTGCAAAGGAAAAATTAGGAGGCCTCCCTTTGTGCTGAGCTTTTGTGGGCAGGCAGGCACCTTTTTCTTCCCGCCTTAAGGATGTAAGCAACTCTGCTGTTGAAATGCGGAGGTGTCTAACTGATTCGTTTCTTATTACTCCCGTATCTTGACTTTCTGGTAGTGGGTTCAAGGTAGTGCATGAACCTCCACTGCCCTATTTTATTTTTGGAAAAAAAAACTGTGAAAAGTTGAGGGGAAACGGACGGAGAACAAAAGGTGGAGGCCACTTGTCTTTCTGGCAATCCATGGTATTATCAAATTCTAATTCTTTTTTAAAAAATCCTGAGGAAAATCAATCACCCTCAGGATTTTCAATCTTTGGTGATTTGGCTGTGGAATGACCCACAGGCTGTGAAGATATGACCGGCCCATGGTAGCTCACTAAGTTCCATAGCTGAGAGGCACTTTCTGAGGGAATGAAATTTTAAAAAAATTAATCACGTACTGTATATGGACAGGAGCAGGGAAAAAAAATACGACATTCTTTGATAAGAACTCTTTGCTAGCAGAACGTAACAGAAACAGGCTAAGGTTAAACCTCCACTGATGTCTTCCCTTGAAAGCTAGAACCAAACCATTTTTTTTCTATTCTTCCATTTTATGGGATTTTTAATGGCAAAACCCCTGGTGATGATTGCAAAAGAAATAATAATTTAAAAAAATTGATTTTACAGGAAGAGTCATAGTTTGGCTGGTTAAAAAAGCACATGTTTTCCAGTCCCTTGCAAGAGTGAACCATTTGACGGTAGCTGGCCCTTTTCCTTTTTTGAACAGGGTTATATCAGGACTTACTTGGGGACGAGAAAATTTGTTTCTCCTCTTGGGGGTCCTTGTTTGGTTTACAGATATGCAAAAGCTGCCTTTGAGGTTCTAGCTTCTCAGCTTTTCCCACCTCGTCCAGGCCTAGATTTCAGTCTGGCATCCATGCTTTCGGATAGATCCTGACTGTTAGACCTGTTTCACTTCCTTTCTGAGATCCGCTGGGAATTTCACATTTTCCATCAAGACATTAGGGGAGTCAACATTGGGCTAAGAGTGTCTTTTTCCACACGCTCGTTTCAAGCCGCGTGTTGCTATTTCTTTTGGAAATACAACTGGGCCTGTGAAAGGGAGACATTGCCTGAACAGTTGTTGACCTCTCAGGTAAAACCGAAAAGCGCCCTGCGGTTTTACAGCACCCTAAAGTCGACATAAACAGGAGCCTTCGCGTTAGCCCGTCATCAAAGTTTCAACCCACCATTAAAATACGCCGGTAGCTATCTCGGTCAATTCCCCAAAGTTTGAGATCTGTCTTGGCTTTGACGGTGGCGGCTCGTGGCGTTCCGTAGATGAGCGCCAGCTCTCCGAAGCTGCCCCCTTCTCCGATGCTGGTCACCCATTCTCCGTTGACGTACACCTGCCAGTCAAAAAAAAAGAAAAAGAAGAAAATGGGGGGGGGGGAGAAAAAAACATTTAGCCGGAGGAACTCAGCTGAATGAAAAGACTCTCAGCCTCCTAAATTACGTAGGACAGAAAATAGCTTTCTTTTTCACGCTTACAGTTTTTAGAAGTTGACCGTCCAAAACCAATAGCTGAACTATTTCCTTATACAGTAACCAAAAGAAACAGAAAAGGAGAAGAAAACGAGGAAAAATAGGGGACAACCTACATTGTGGACAGAATTTCAAGTCTTCTTGCATTAGTACAATGGCTGCATTTACTCTTTTCGAGTTTTCAGCTCCCTGGGGTTTGCTGGCACTAAACGTCTATACACATACACACAATATCTTTTGTAGAATTTGGAGCACAGATAGAATCAGGGGGTAAAACCTTTTCATTCGGACGATTGGATTTAAAGGCAGAGAGGAGATATTAGCGGGGAAAGATCGCCGATATGAAACCAGAAAGAAAAACCAGCACAGAAGGTGGAAAACACCGTAGATAAAGAAAGCTTTTCCCTCCCTTACAAATTTCATCAGAAATGCTTTTTGACGTTTCTAAGATCGTTTTCCTGGTGGCCCACATGTGGTTGGTTAAAGAACTGGGCCAATTTGAATCTCATCGCAAAGGAATGGTGCCGGTCCCACTATGAGGCAAAGTGACCCAGACGCCTCAAGTAGCGAGTCAGGAATAACGCTGCCTCTGTGTTGATCCCATTTGTTAATCTGAACACTATGATGGGTGGCAATTAATTCATCGTTGTGTTGCAGTCGCTATGTCCTGTCAAGTTGCTTCCGATTTATGTCAACTGTAAGAAGGATGGGCCTCCAAAATGTCAGGTCATGAATAGCCCTGCCCAAGCCTTGCAAACTGGAGGGCATGGCTTCCTTAACGAAATCAGTCCATCGCACGTCGGCTCTTCCTCTTTCCCTACTGCCTTTCGTTTGTCCTACCATTATTGTTCTTCCTTAACGAAATCAGTCCATCGCACGTTGGCTCTTCCTCTTTCCCTACTGCCTTTCATTTGTCTTACCATTATTGTCTTTTCCAGAGAATCCCATCTTCTCGTAATGTGCCCAAAGCAGGACAGTCTTGAGTTTCGACATGTCTGCCTCCAAAGAGAGTTCCGGCTTGATTTGATCTAGGGCCCACTAGCAATGCATCATAATATATTCATTACTTTTTGAACAGGTGAGATGTGTGCCATGTGGCTTTCTTTCAGCAAAAGTAAGGATCTCCAAAATTGCATCGAACTATGCAAATCAGTCCACTTTTGAGGCAAATCTCTGCGTTATTCCCTTTTGTGCTTGCAAGGGCATTTTTTGTTTCATTCCTGATGCATAAACATTGAAGTTTTAAACTTTTAGCACAGCTGTTTCCTGCTTGAAACACATGCTGATCGTTTGTGTAAAGGCTGCCCCCCCCTTTTAATGTGAGTGATAGTTTTAAATGCCATTTTTATTGGAGAAGTGAGTGTGGATTGTTAAGTTCACAGGGCTGGGACTGTGTCCGGAAGGCAGTATTTGGGAAAGGGGGTAGGGTTCATGTAGCTTCTCCTTAAGACAGCCATCCCCAATCCAGCACTCTCGGCTGTGCCCTCAATAACTCACTCTAAGATATTTGTAGTACAAAGAATGTTAACAAATATTTTACTTAAAGATCAACAGCAAACAAGCAAACCTGACTGCTTCCAGCAACTGACCTCGACAGACTCTGAAGACAGAAAAGGCACCAACCATAAAGGTAGGGCTCTCTTTGGGTACAGAGGCGGGCAGGAAGGAAATGGGTGGTGTTGGACAGGTTGACAGTTGTCCCAGCTCAGAAAGGTGCCTCCCAGCCAAACCTACTAAAGGCAGCATGCGAGGTTGCAAAAACACCAACAGACTTCCCATCATCCCTAGCTAGAACACTACTCCCATCATCCCCAACTGGAACGGTTCTTAGGTTTGCCCCTTGTGCACAAAATACAGTGGTGCCCCGCATAACGTGCGATTCGTTTAACGACGAATCCGCATAACGATGTTTTCAATGGCTAAAAATCGCTTTGCGATGATCGGTAAGCATTTCGCTTACCGATTATCGCATAACGATGTTTTAAAAACAGCTGATCGGCGGTTCCAAAATGGCCGTCGGAAAAAAATTGACTGCCCGCAGTGTTTTTGCGCCCTTTCCTCACATACCGGGCAGCAAAAATGGCGGTCGCATGGAGGATTTTCGCTTTAAGGTGAGTTTTCTGCCCATAGGAACGCATTGAAGGTGTTTCAGCTTTTTTGCCCTGCATAGTGACGAATCCGTATAGCAATGATTTTTTTGGAACGGATTATCATCGCTATGCGGTGCACCACTTGTATACAAATATCTCGGAGTGAGTTATTGAGACTGTAACTGGTGTGGTTCATGAGAAAAAGGAGTGGACTACTATGGGGAATTTGAAGCTATTCTGCTCTGCGAATCCCCACACTTCAGCTGTACCCCTGGAGAAATTTAACAAAGAAGTCAAAGCTCTCTGCAACAAACCTCTGCAACAAAATCATGTGACAGCACAGCTGAGAATGCTTAGTTGGAAAGGCTGTCTTAAGGAGAAGCGAGATGAACCCTACCCCCTTTCCCAAATATCGCCTTCTGGATACCGTGTAATTCTTCCCAACCCCGTGAACTTAAAAATCCACACTCATTTCCCCAATAAAAATGCCATTTTCAACTATCAATCACATAAAAGAAAAAAGAGGGAGGGCAGCCGTCACACAAACGGCCAGCATGTGTTTCAAGCAGAAAGCCGCTCTCCTAAAAGTTTGAAATCTCAATGTTTGGGCAGATCTGACAGTAAATTTTCTCTTTGGGATGATGACAGACTGCCCGGATGATACATTGTCCTGTCATCCTGCCCTCGGGCTGGAGGCTCAGCCCTGCTTCATCTACTTGTCGTTCTGCCTCTTAAAAGGAAAGAAACGCTGTCTGTTCGGATAAGGCCTATTTAAAGTCCGCTTATTTTAGCTCTCTGGTTTCCTGGACAAGAATGCGGAGGGGTGAAAAATTTAGAAAAGCCCATGGGATTCTGGTTGTTGTTTTTTTTCCCCTTTCCCAAGACAGAAACAAAAAGCTTTCAAAGGCTCCTTCTTGGGAGACGACGTCATATTTCTGAGCGACGCAGAGAAAATCAAGAAAAGTCACCAGGGTCCTTAAGGCTACTCAAAGGCAAGGGAAGGCAACACCTTTATTAATAATATTCACGTGTCCTCATGTACGTTCTAACTTATAGTGACTCTTTCCAGAGTTTCCCAGGTAGAGAATACTTAGAAGTGGTTTCCCCTTCCCTTCCTCTAGGGGGCAACCTTGGGACTGTACAGCTGGCCCAAGGCCACCCAGGCTGGCTCTTCTCTCAGGAGGCCCCACGGGGGAATCGAACTCCCAACCTTTGGCTCCACAGCCAGAGACCTAAACTACTGAGCTATCCAGCCAATATAGATCACTAAAAATATTGAACAAACATCAAGCTCTCATGGATAAAACCTCACTTTTGCAGGCTTATGAACCAATAGTTCTGGATAGAGCAGTTTTATCTGTCCTGCTCCCTTCAGCCCATGCGAGGGTGTGTGTGCATGTGGGTAGGTGGAAATGCGTGTGGACTGGGTGGGTGCGTGCGCACATTCCTGTTCCTTCAACCCTCAAAGATGTTTAAAATATCCAATGTGGCCCTCACGGTCAAAAGTTTGGAGACCCCTGGTTTAGACTTATACCTCACCCATTTAGCGGACAAGCCACCACTTTGTAACTTCCAAACCTAACCAGAAAACTGTCTCAGGCCACAACAGTCAAGTACGGTCACACCTGGCAGTAAATCCTCAGAATCGCAGGCATAAAGAGGACTTTCCTATCAGCAGCCGCTTAATGCTTCTAACTGGAGATAACAGGAGCTGAACCTGAGATCCTTAGGGAAGCAAAGCAAATGCAGTGAAAAGTCCCAAAAATTCATGGCCGGTATCTGTGCCGCGTCTGCTTGAGGTCAATTCAAATCATCACAAGTTCAAACTCAGTGATTTAGCCACTCAAGTTTGTTGCTCCAGACAGAACACCCTATTGAAGGAAGGGACACTGCTCCGCTGTAGAGAAGTCTCTGGAAAAAAAAAGTGAGCCTTATTTTTCCCTGCTGGAGTTTTTGCAACCTTGCATGTTGCCTTTAGTAGGTTTGGATGGGAGGGACTTTTCTGGGCTGGGCTGACTGTCAATCTATCTGGCAGTAACCAATCATTCCCTCCTGCCTCTAAATTCAAACAGAGCCCTGCTTCTCTGCTTTAAGTGTTTACCCTCTCTGTTGGCAATCTGTTAGTCTGTTGAGGTCTCGCTACATCGAGGGACTGCAATTTACGCACTATTGATCAGTGGCCATTCTGGTTATTGTAGGCCAGAAAAAGAATCGTGGTTTTTTTTTCCACCCCCAAAAAATTGTGCAACAGAAATCTGCAACAGACGAACAGGATACCTGCTAGCAGGATTTGGGGAGTTTTATTCCAAAACAACGGCCTTTTCCAGGTTCTGAAGGAGAATGGGTCCTGGAAATCTTGCAACAGACCGTTCTAATTTAGTTCCTACGGCCTCGGTTTCTATGAACTGTGTCCCTGTCAGAGTCAGTCCAAGATCCGCGCATTCTTTTGCCGTTACTTCCCCCGCTGACCCCCATCTGCACGGTAGCCAGCCAACGGAGGCCTCTCTCGTCTCTCTCGCTTTCATGTCCTTGGGAAGGAATGCAGAGCGGTAGATAGACCCAAATCTGAAGATGGAAGATGCTGCCAAGGCCCTTCAAGCTTTCGGGAGATCAAAAGCATTTCTGGGCCTCTATTGTTTTCCATTCCATTTGATATGAGACACCACTGTACTTGCACATTCTCCAGGTGAGTTTATTTGCTGCTCTCTTTTCTCTGCTCTGCCTTTAAGAAGCTGGCGTGTGTGTGTGTCTGGGACCCAAGAAACATCTTCTCA